AAAATTGGTTTTAATGCAAATGATATCTCTAACAATTGATATCAACTTTTCAAATGTTTTGATTTTATAAAATTTAAATATTTGACCTAAAATTAAATGTTTATGCATGTGATTTAAAATGCAAAAGATATCTCTCTACAATTGATACAAAAAATTTTCAAATGCATAACAATTTTGGAAACCTTTATGCATATGCACTTAATTTCAATAATTGATATTGCATAAAGTATTTTAGACTTGGATATATTGAATTTCATGTACTACTAACATGTTTGTTATTCTTTGTTGAAATTCAATTTTGTTTGAGTGTCAAGTTCTTAGAGCTAAATTTTGTTTGGAATGCTATTATTAAGGGGAGTTTTGATTTTTCAAATGATTTTTAAATGTCAAATTTACTACTTACTCTCCAAAGTTATTTTGAACTTCAAATATTGAATTATATTTTATATAACAAAAAGGGGGAGAAGTTTGGTTTAAAAAATTCAATTTCTTAATGAAAAAGATGGAGATTAACATTTTCATATATTTTCAATAATTGGTAACAATTGATATCATTTTGTTAACAATTTGTATCTTTTTCATTAAACATTTTATTAAGGGGGAGTTTTGCCAAAAACAATTTTTCAAATGTTTTGTTATATCAAAAAGGAGGAGATTGTTGAATTATGTTTCAATATAACAAATTTAAGGCAAAATGTTTTTGGACTTGAATTGATTTTATTCAAAGTTTTAAAAAGGTTTCAAAAATAATTCAAAGTCCATTAAAATCGAATTTCAACAAAAATGCTGAAGGGTGTCAAAGTGCATCCATGCACTGCAGTGCATCCATGCACTATTCATCGATGCACCCTGAGTGCATCCATGCACTCCATTTCGAATGCAATTAGTGCATCGATGCATCCAGCTGTGCATCTATGCACCCTGGCTGCAACAGCTAGTTTATTTGAATTTAATGAAGAGGTACCGATGCACCTTAATGGTGTACCGATGCACCCTGTTATGGGTAGTCTTTTTGAGTAGAAAAATCATCCCCAAAGGGCTCCTAAACATCCCCAACAGTAATATACGACTTTAAACACATTACAAGCTATAAATACAAGCTGAGGACACTTGAAGAAATAAGAGAACAACTATCCAAGCAATCAAACACAAGAGAATAACTTTTTATTCTTATTTTCCTTTCTCTTGTAAATATTTGTTCTTGTGAGCTTAATTCTTGTAAACACCTACCTTAGAGAGGTTTATTTGTTTACTTCTTTTATCCTTTTGTAAAGGGGAAAGGTTCTAGCTAAGTCCGTGTAAAAGCTAGGGAAAGGTTCTAGTTTAGCCATTGAAAAACTAGGGAGTTGTAAAGGTTATCTTTTTGTCCTTGAAAAAGAAAGAACAAATTAGTGAATTTGTTGGAAAATCCTTGGTGAGGAGCGAAGGTAGTGGATGTAGACTTGGTTGAGAAGTCGAACTACTATAAATCGCTGTGCAATTCTCTATCTTTCAATCTCATTACTCTCTAAACACAAAAACTGTTCCGACCCCTCTTTGCACACCATTCCAGTTGTCGATTCGAGCTTTCAAAATTACCAACACAAATGATTGAATCATTTAAAAATTATGGTGAATCAGTTGGGGAGGCCATGCGTCTCAACCCAATTCACCTGACGCGACCATCTAATTTGTGGAGGTGGTCATGATCCCATGGACTCTGCGGAATAGATTGGTGGAAGCCGAATTGCCTCAACACTTTATCCGCAAATTGGATCTCAACAAAAGCAAAATTAATCAATGGTGTAACATCACACCAATATTGACACCCATCAAAAATATCGCGCGGTACACACGCCATAATTTATGCATCTACGTATGGTCTCGAATTAAACTGTAAAATTAAAATAACAATAAAATTTATTTAAATCAAATAATATAGTTAAATTAAATAATAATTAATAATTATATATTATATATACCTCTTTTTTGCCCTTAATTTTGATCTTCAACCTAAACTTTTTAATATTATTGTGCACCAACCTCGTGCCTTCTATTTTATGCTTCTATCTGTACATCAATCAAAAAAATTATGTTATTTTTTAATCAAAATAAATCATTTATAATTAATATTTTATATTAAATTAGAGAATTTATATTATCTTTCGGCAAGTGGAAAGTCAACCGCAGTCCGACTAATCGGTGTCAAAAACGGAAGTCTATGCCAAGCCCATAATTGTAGCAGCATCAGACATCCACCGATTTCTGCTATATTATTATTATTCACGCCTTGCACATTTGACGATACAAAAACGCCAATATCGTCGATCCCCAGCTATATTGCCTAGTATTCACAAAATTTCTTAAAAATATAAGATACTAAGTGCGAACTAGATTATCGGATTTATCCGACATCAAAATTCCCCCAATCAACTGCAATATATATGCTCGTATTGCATATATAATTTCTTGTTCCGTACTATTTCGTTGGAGTTGAAATTGATTCTTCAACCATGACAACTTCACACGCCACCCTTTACATTCTGGTGTTACTGGCGTTTGCCCAAGAAACGCACTGCAAAGTTGTTTCACATTATTGTAGTCATTTTTCATTACCACCAGCATCTCATTTGTTTGAACCCCGAGTTGCATTGCCACATCCTCCAGCGTTATTGTACATTCTCCACACGGAAAATGAAATGTGTGAGTTTCTGGTCTCCAACGTTCAATCAACGCACTGATCAAACCTGAGACCAACTTGTATTCTCGCACAAATGTTACATAATAAAATCCAGTCTGTTGCAAGTTTTCTTTTATCAATTAATGTGGCTTGGGCGGAATATTTAGCCGATGATGAAGGAATCGATGCTCATCCTCCTGCAATTAATTAATTCAAAAAATTTATCACAATCATAAAATAATCTTCAAATATTTAATAATAATAATTCATTAAACAAATATTTTATTTTTTTAAATAAGAATAACACCGTTATTCCCAAATGAGTAGAAATATGTTCATTGTTAAGTCTTAGCAGTGGAATTTGGTCAGTCATTCGAATGAATCTGTAAAAAAATTAAACAATAATATTTAAAAAAATCATTTAATATAATATAAACTAACTAACTAATTTACAAAACAAAAAAAATTATATAATAACTTATAATATAATAAACTAATAAACTAACAAACTAAATTTTTTAAAATATAACTTAAACATAAATTTTACCCTTAAACAACTAATATACTATTCTTTTATATAACTTAAACTAATAAACTATTTTTTATTATAATAGAACTAAAACTAATTAACTAATTAACTATATTTTTTATATAATATAAATTCAACAAACAAATATAACTTTAACTATTTAACTAACAAACTAATTAAATATTTTTTATATATAAATAAAAAACTAATTAACTAATTTTAATATATATTATAACTTCAACAAACAAACTAATATAAATTAAATCGACATATAATAACAAATTTAATATAATTTAAACTAAAACTATTTTTAAATAAAATAACGACATATAATAAATTTAATATAATTTAATATAATTCAACAAACAAATTTAATATAATTCTTCAACATTAATCTAACTTAAACTAACAAACTAAATTTTTGTTATATAACATAACCCTAAACTATGCTCTAACTAACAAACTACTAATTTAAAAATTAAAAAATACCTTAAAGACCCTTCTTCTTCTTTCTTTCTTCTCCCTTTCTTTCTTCTCCCTTTCTTTCTTCTTACAACCGAAACCTCCCCCAATATATAAACACGACTGCTGCAATAATTGAAACAAATCAAGGGCGTTGAAATGCAACAATTATTGTTGTCATTCTGGTTCAGCATCAGCTGCTGATGTTGCATGCTATTATAGTTGTTATAGCTATTGAAATGCAACGGAGCAGGGGAATCACGGGCGTCAATCATGCTGCAATAATGCAACTATTATAGCTGGATGCAGAGGACAGTGGGAGCAGGCGAGCATGCGTGAAGGCTTGATCGTCGGGCATGCATGGCGACCTACCCCTATGTGCATGGCCCATGCAAAGCTTCAGCAACTCACCACAGCTCGCGGGGACTGTTTGGCGATTTCCTTGGTCACTCGAACCACCTGGCGACCTATGTCCCAACTGTAGAAAACACACTATATGAGCAATTAATCTGCCAACAACATTATCTCAAGAATTTTTTTGCCACACCATTATCTGAGAAATTTTGACTGGAGATTACGTGTAAACAAAGGTAGACAATTTAGATCTTGATGTTTGGGATAAGGCATGTTCAAGTAAACATGATAACTCAATCACCTGGACAAATTTTAGGGACAAGGATGCATTCATGTATCCATGTCATGTAAGTACTAAGACAATTTTCATGGACAGATTATTATTTCAAGAATAAAGATATATATATTTTATTTTAATTTAGTGATAAACTACATTTAAAATTATGAAAATATTAATTATTTATAATATTTTCACGTTTTAAAAAATAATTCTTTTTTAGCCAATCATTACATCTTAGATGGATATATCTTAAAATTCAATCAAACACGATGTCAATCGACGGCTACAAAACAAACAATTGTTATGACGGCTATGGCACATGGATGAATCCTTTCACCACATGACAAACATGCATGTTATTTTTCTACATGTGCTATTTATGCGTTTATCAATTGATTAAAAAAATTAATTAAATATTATCTTATAATCATCTCAAACTATTAAAAGAAAATATTTCTCATTTAGTTATTAATTAGTTTTAATTAATCATAAACATATATAATTCAATGATCAAATCATAAATTAATGTTCTCTCTTTTTTAAGAAAATATCATTTACAATGTTTACGATTTTACATGCGATTAATTGTATGAATTTGTGATTGGTTTCGAAGTTCGTATAATATAAATTTTTTTAGTTCAAAATCGAGTTCGATCGAACTTGATAGAAAAAAATAATCTCATAAAATTTAACAAGAACTATATAAAATCCAAGTTTAAAGCATCTAACATGTTTTATTATCATTTCGAAAGCATTTCACAACAACACAACATAGTACAACGCCTAACTTGTATACCATAACACTGCAACTTTACTCACTTCAGCATATATAACAAACTTGACCAACAAAATGATGTACTGAATTCAGAGTTCATCCTTGGCCTGTTGGGAAGCTTTCCCATCGTTGTTGGCATGCAACTTGACAGGGTAAGAGGCTTCCAAGGTTAAACCACAAAGGCCTTCTTGAGCTTCGATATCTCGTTGCATCCTTATGTAACCCTTTTCTCCCCAGTCCTCGCCCCACGAGTTCTTCACAATCCAGTACTTCGTCCCGTCATGAGTTGCTCCATAGCCTACCACTGCCACCCCATGGTTCAGCTCAGTGCCACAGTCTCCGGAGAATACGCCCTGCCAAACGAATAAGTTAATCGGTCCCAAACCGTATTACTTTAATCTTCATCAGTTTTATGGTTTGAAAAAATTTCAATTACCTCCGAGTAGAACTGGAAATCCTTGACACCAGCATCTATAGCAATAGACACAGGTTGTTGTGCAACAGCATTCCTCAGAGCTTTCTCATCCTTTTCTGGTACCATTTCATAACCATCAATGATCACCACAGGACCATTCAACTGAAAATAAGCAGTCAGACATATTCAAACTCATCACCATACATATATTAACAGTATTAAGAGCTTTCTTTTGTTACCTTGGCCGAGTCACAGGACTCGTCTTTGGCTTCGTATGGGTAGATTTTCTCGGTAGTTAATCCATTGCTTTGCTTGATGAACTTGAATGCTTGTTCCATCAATCCTCCATCACATCCTTGGTTCTCCTTATCACAATCAACTAGCTCTTGTTCAGATAAATTAACAAGCTCCCCTGTTTTGATTTTATTTATACCCTCCACTGCAACTACAGTTGAAAATGCCCAACAGCTTCCTGCGATGTCAATGACCTTGAGTTACTTCAGAGCAACATGTGAATTGTGTTGATTTGTGAAGTGACTGTTGAATTTAAAAAGACAACCAGTCCTTACCACATTTGCCTTGGTCCTTGATACCAGTAACTGCTCCTTTCCGCCTCCAATCAATGGATTGTGGAAGGTTGTCAACTTCGCCATGCTGGAAATCAGTCATCCGCCTCGGACCATGTAACATCCGGTAATGGCTAACCTTCGAGCTCCTTGTACTCATGAACTCATAGTTTGTCATATCTGCAAACTTGTTTAGTTTCAACTTATAAGGCCTGTCCATCTGGTTCACGTTGTGGATGTGTTTCAGATTCTCCTTGAACACATTGAAACGCTTTTGCTTCTCCTTCGTGTCACGGGAGATTGTATGGTGGCTCCTCCATCTCTCGTACAAATCCCACAGGCTCTCTTCGGAGGCCAAATCACTCTCATGGTAATCAAAGCTCTTGGCCAGCTGAAAAGCCAGAGCCAACGAAAACACAACCAAGAATAACTTCCACATATCCATATCCCAGTGCTTCAAATACCAAAAACTCAGATCTAATTCCTTGATTGTCCAGAGATGGAAGCGTGCCCTTTTATGGTAATAAAGATAAGGTGTTGGAATCTTAACTTTACAAAACTTTAAGCAGAAATTAAGGCAAAAAGGGTACACAGATTTTGAAGAAAACAACTCTGCACCTGTTTTGATAGGCGGTTTTGTTACACTTTGTGTGTAAATACACACAATTACATGCTAACCCATGCTGTCTTTGCTTTAACTTGTTTGCAGCAAACAAATTGATTACATACTTGGAGGTTGCCAGGCGATTCAGGTCATGATTTCTAGCAAGTCCTGTTGAAAACAATGCCGAAAAACTGCAACAACTTTTCTTCCAAAGATCTGAAATTTATACGCTTTGCATATGCACATGATACTCATATGTAACATTTGGATAGTAGTGAAGGGCAGGAAAAAAGAAGCTGATATTACGCATGAAATGTGCAACACATCTGTTCTTTTCATCAGAAACAGCATACATTCAAAAGCTTAATAGTTACCACTCACTTCTATCTAGTACCACTTGATCCAAACATCGGTAGGAAAATAAGAATATATTATTTGGTGGGGATAGCTAAGGATTGAATTGATCCATTCATATCCAAGGAATTTCATTGGTATAATATACAAATAGATATCAATGACTGAAACACATCTGCCTTGCAACAGTCAAAATATATGGTAGAGCGTGCGGAGAAGCGCAGAAACAACTTATAGCAGTCTGCTATGACTATTGGTATGAACTGCATACACAAAAATCAAACTAGCATGTTCTTAGCAGATTGATTCCTTACCAGCATGGTATGCGTAGATTGTAGCAGCATAAATTAGAGTTCTGTTGGAATTTAATTATCAAATATCATCAAGCTATATCACTCAGATTCAGGTATAAGTGATGAATTAGAGCATGTGCCTGACAAAATTATGTTCAACTTCTTGCGAAGTTCCCCCCCCCCTAATTTTAGGATCATATCCCCATAATGATGTCCGCATATGTGTTGGACACGAATACTTCAAAAAAAAAAATGAAAACCCAGAGCAACACTGTCAGCAAGAAAGGTAGCAATGGAATGTAGTATCATTTTTCCCCTTCTCTCCTATCACACTTTGAATACATTAAGACCTCATTTGAAAACAAAAGCTAGACTCTGATTCTCACTCATCCCACACGAGAGATTGACAAACTCCTACAAAATTATCAACGAAATGCATTCAATAGCCAATGTAATGGAATTCATAATTTCCCAATTCATCTTTATCATAACTAGTAAACATTGAGAAACACAAGACAAACAGAAAACTCGTCAATTTCAAACAGATAGGCATTTATAGAAGGAAACAATAATTCGTCCATGGCATATCATGGGGTTATCTTATCCAGCTTATTTTCAAAGGGAAATTTTATGGTTCTTCGTCACAATTCCACCGAGTCTAAATTAAAACAAATCGGGGCAAAAACAAAATGACAATAACAAGTCAAACGCAGAATTTAGGGGAGACGCTCATTCAGCTTGGCTTGCTGAAGCAGCTCTTCCCTCATTCTTCTGCTTCACCGGCTGTTCGGGCTGGTCTTTCGAGGCTAGGATTCTCAGCAAATTTTGATCATCCAGTTCCTAAATCGACATTCGATGTTTTACTTCAAGACCCGAATTGCTAACCGATGCCCCGTGATCATTAGACAATCCTATGTGTAATAATTAAGGATAAACTACATAAATGGTCATTGAAATATGAACAAATTACTGTTTTCAGCATTGAAGTTTTAAAAATAACGATATGATTGTTAACACTATCGTTTTGTAACAATAAGTTATTCAGCCGTTAACAACCATAAGCACAATTACATAGATTTGATGTAACACGTTTGAGCAATTAAGTTGATATTGTTTAGACACATCGGATAACGATTGATCGACTCTCTATCCCTCATTTAAAAAAAACATAAATCTTTAATTTAAAAATCCTAATTTGAAATAAGTAAAAGACCTATAACACGCTAATCAAATTTAGATAGATAAAAAATCCAACTCATTTCCATCTCTATGTAGGGATGTGCATGGGTCGGATTTTTGGTCCACCCGACCCGACTCGAAAACAAAAAATTTTCCACCCGAGATCCAACCCGACCCGACCAAAAATAGATTTCATATGACCTGAATCCGACCATAATATAACTTAAAAACCCGACTCGACCCAAAATAATAATAAAAATATTATTTTTATTCAATAAAAATGGTAACTTAATTGAAAAAATAATATAGAGAGGGGTATTATTGTAATTATTCCTAAATATATAAGATAAAATTATAAAATTTTTTGGGTCGAGTCAAGTAATTTTCTCCATAAACCTGAACCCGACCCGACCCGAACATCACATTTAAAAAAACATGACCCAACCCAAACCCGATTTTTTAAAAAACCGATCAAATCGGATCGGGTCCGAGTCTCATGCCCATCCCTATCTCTATGTATGAGGGCATAATTTCAATTTTTTTATTCTACTTCTGCATCAATTTCCTATTTTGCCCAAGAACCCAGAACTTTTTAATTCTTGGCCCATCATGCGATCCGTTACCCAAACTCAAGCTTAATGGCTTTTTGGTCTTTTACTTCGAAAAATTAGGGTTTCCAGTTTCGCAACCACCACTATAAAAATCCACCTTTCCGAGTTTCATCGCACATTGCTGCCCCGCAACGCGAACTCTGCCCTTCAGATGACAGCTCAATACTCTTGACGTTGTCTCTGATTTCATTTCATTCTTTTTCTCTTTAAGGAAATCTTATTGTTTCAATTCAATCGCTTTAGGCGTTGCGTTCTTCAGTGGCTGTTATAAGTTATCAGAATCCCGAAGGGCGCGTCAACGAAAGCGTAAATCACCTTCATCTCCAACGATTCAATTTAAAAATCCTGCACGCTACACGCTTTCACTGCGAATTGTAGCTTGTAATGTGTTGGATCTGCCATTTTCTAAAAAAGCTCAAAATTCAATCAGATTTATTGTTCAAAGCTCTTTGTGCTTAAAGAATGGTTTCTGCAGTTTGATTTTCTAGTCTGTGTGTGTTTAAGTTGCTTCTTACTGGTGAACGCTCTCAAATCTACAGTGAGGGATGTTCATGTTTCCGAAGCATAGATCAATTCATTTTTTAGCCAGTTTTAAACAGCGTTGTGCGTTTATTAACTTACAAGCATTGCGCTACCTGTCTCCTGGTATATTTATTAGTTTGTTTCTCTTTCTGCTTGTGTTTTCGTGTCTGAATTATTTTCTGGATCTTCTTGAGTTTTCAAGCCGCGCACTCAGTCAACTAATCTAAAGCATCTATATATTTATCTTGTCAAATTAAAGTTCAAATTATAAAATTAAGAACAAAGGAGAAATAGGAAAGGTTTCGCCTCCAGGATAAGACTGCAAGCTTTAAGCTAAAAGAGAATTCTTGCTGCAGAAAATTAAGTTTTATTTAAAGTTGGTTGACTTAGCCTTGATTGTATGTGAACAATTCCTTACCCTTATCGTAAAAAAAAACACTAAATCCTTAGAGACTTAAAAGTATCCTATAATTCAATTATTGGAGTTCAACTACTACATCAGGAAGCATGGCTTTCATAAAATATGCCAAAAATCTATAACATGGAATGCATCTATAACAGAAACTGAAGAGACCTATACAATTACACTTAGACAAATATATACTGATGTGTATGCATGTTCGCACACCCACGGACACTGGCAAATACACACAGAGACACAAACACAGGAGAGAGAGAGAGAGAGAGAGAGAGAGAGACCTTAAGTAGCGGCTCGTGAGTGGTACCAGATGGGTTGCCAGGATTAACAACTGTAACAAGCTTTGGAACATTTCCAGCGATGTCTTTTCTAACCAGTCTGAAAATTAAAACAACACGTGACATTCCCGGTCCAAATACATCATGTGCTTTGCTATGAATGTAAATCTTTTTCCCTTATATTACATAATTGTAATGGCCACAAGCTTTTCAAGTGAAATCAATCAAATTTGTAATGGCCATAGCTTGCTTTTTGTGTATTCTCATTCAACAAATTCTGTCCCTTCACTATCACACAATATTGTCAGAGTGGGAGAGGGCTAAATCGAGAAGACTGAAACAGTTGGGTTTGAGAGCTGATGAGGTGCAAGAGGTGGGGAGGGATGCGGTGATGGAGTATTGGAAAATAACAGGAAATTGAATTTTTTTAGAGCAAATTAGATATACAATCATTGTTTAATAAATTTAGATATTAATATTTTTAATAAAATTGTTACACCATCACTTTAACAAAGATAATAATGGAGTGATATTTTGTAAACAAACTCAAAGAAGCACACACACACACACATATATACATATATATATATATATATATATATATATATGTGAATATGAGAAATTTAGGTAAAAAGCGACTTCCCCAATTAAAGGTCAGGGCATACTTAAGTCTTAATTGGGATTTATATAAAAATATATGGACTGTCCATAAAAAATAATGATGGTAGGATTCAAATTGACCTTACAAGCTTAAAATCTTAAATCCCAACCACTTGTACCAACACTTATTAGCTATATATACATACTTCCATGCTGGAAGACACCTTTTGTTATATTCTACACAAGACAGAGAAGGCTATTAACTTGTCACTCATCTAAACATTTTAACAGTGCATGAATTGAGTAGAAACAGTATTAACTTGTCACAATTAAATTAGAATACAATTCTAACTTTAGGTTATTAAAAGTAAAAAAAAAAGATCTTATACGATAAAAAAATAATATTATTGTGAAATCGAGACCATAACATTATTCTTTTTATATTGCGTTATATCTTATATATATAGATAAGTATAATACTTAATGAAAATTATTAAAAAGTATATATTTGATATACTAATTATATGTAAAATTTAATTACTTTTTTCTCCTCTTAAAATTTAGATAGGGTAAGAATTAAAATAATTCTATGATTTTTCATTAGATATTAATTTCACATTGAAAATTTAGCTTGTTATAAAAAAAATCATAATGATAATTTAGTCAAATTTACTTTGAAACAATATTATATTCTCCTAAACCGTAAACCTTATTCTCAAATACGATCTTAAACCAAAAGTTCTCTTTAGGCTGCTTCCAAACATCTGATTCTCAGTTGAATAAGTAGACATGCTGTTTCATATTAAAGTAATATATTAGGCACGCACTTATAATCTCTGTATGGTGTAGGAGGTTAAGAAAAGAAGCTTTCTTTATTCAACAGATTGTGAGTTCAAATATCTAAATTGATGAAATGATTTTGAACTTAATTGCGGTTGCTCATGAATTGGTCTGTGAAGTTTTCTTAATACATCATATTCAACAACCTTGATCTTTTGGTATTCTATGTCTTCACTTAAATTCATAAATTAGATGATATATATATATATATATATATATATATATTTGGTTGCACTCATAGCTTCTAAGGGCTTCGGCCTGACTAATTCGGACCGATTTGTATCGCACATCTAGTTTTAGTGGGTGAGTCTCTCAACATAGATTTTTTTAGAATACGCAATGCCTTGAACTCGAGACTTACTTAAGTGATATCAAACTGCTTACTATTAGAAACTCAAGAATTCTGTCACTAGAGTAATGCATAGACTATTTAAATGAACACATAGAAAAAGCATTTACATTAATTAAGTTTTGGTGTAAGCCCATCAATACAATATACTGGAATCAAACATTAAGCCTAGCATCAGCGTCGAGAAGAATAGTGCTAACAGAAATCAAGTCCGAAGAGGTTGAACTAGCAGTTATGACAGTAACAATAGAGTCATATTCAGGAGGCAATCCATTTAGAATGGCTTATCTGCTCATGTTCAGAAATCACCTCTCCACAGTTGCCTAAATTATCACAGATGTTCTTAATTTTCATAAAAAAAATTCTCGCATGCTAAATTCCTCTTTCTTTTGTGAATGCTAAAGTCTTCTATATGACATTAATTTTGACGTAGTTTTACCACTACATAATCGATGCAGAGTATTTCATACGTCCGATGCAGTATCAGCCTCAAGATATTTAAAAGGGGTAGAACATAAATATACGTAGCAACAACAGCAACATGCCATCACTTGAAGGCAAGCTCTCCAAAAATTGCAAATTATTATTGAAATGGACATCAATTTACGTCAACAATCAATAAACAACGGGCTGAGAGCGTCAATGCCTTTGTACAAAGGACAATGATTGACATTCACCTCTCGCAAAACATGAATTCGGGTCAAACTCTAGAACTATTAAAACCATGAAATGCAATCCTAATGTCAAAATTCACTGCCAAACTCCAATATATATATATACATACATACAAACATTCAGGAAGACACCTTTTGCTATATTCTACATAAGACAGAAAGGCTATTAACTTGTCACTCATCTAAACATTTTGCTATGGATTTGACTCAGCTTGAATTTAATCAAATTTGATACTGTTTGCCATGTGGCACTGTCGAACAAGTTTCGAACAGCCAGTTGAAATGGCCGATCGAGCCTCGGAAATCAGTAGTACTGTTCCTTTTAAATCAACTGATGGAAATGACAACTGCATTCTCCTTGGACCTCTAGAACCCAGGACATTGAACTCATAAGAGATGTGATCTACAGGATAGTTGTCAGCGAGCAGAAACTTGTTTCATATTAATTAGCCAGCATTTGGAGGCAGTGAATTTGGTACATGATAGGAATCGAGGCCCAAGTTTTTTTTTTGGATTGAATTTTACCTCAATGATCAACTGAATGCTAATTTCATCTGCAATGATTCTGTCATGTCGGGAAATCTTTGCTATATTCATTTATTAAGATCCATCATCCATGCTGGTCTATGTAAGAAATAAATAGCTCAATCCAAATGTTTGTTTAGGCCGACCGATTCTTTGAATTGATGAAATGATTACTGTTTTTTTATTGATCAAATCAACTGAAACCTAATTTCTATACCTTTCGAAATAACTAAAACTAAAACTAAATGCTTGATGAAAATGGCGTCGACATGCCTTTCTTGTTTCTACCATAGACTATATGCCTCCCATTGATCACAAGTTGCTTCCCATGCAACTCTATACCCAAAGGCTACCCTATCCAGCTAACTATTGCAACAAAGATCGTTTCACCCTTTTTCTGCTCATTGCGTTGTCCACAAGCTTGAACCACTGGCTCTAAGGGTCGCATGTGTTGTCTTTACTTATGCATTCGCAACTATTTGTGACGATTGTCTTGTCTGGCGCTACATCGACGCAAATGGATTTTCCATCTCCGAGCTTAGACGAAAGATGCATCTTGGAATCCGATATCATTTCCCATTTCGAATTCGAGTCGTTGCAAAAGACATTGAGCGTTGTCGATGTCCTGGATCCGTCGGCTTGTAAACAATAATGTGTTCCTTTTACTAGTAAAGTCTTATGGGGGAGTAACTCCAAGCATAGGAGTCGGTGCATGGACCTAATCGCAACCGGTGGTCGAATAATTTCCTTGTGATACAAAGCACTGTTAAGGGATGGAAGATCACTTTGTGCGGTTTGACTTCTGACAGACCCGTACCTGCATATGTCATTGCACAATAACGAAAGATTAGTATCCATTTTTTTTCGGTTCACATCAATCTCAAATTAAAACAAAAGAAAAAAGAAAACTTTAATATACGTTGGCTTACCCCGGAAAGGACCTTGTGTTAAAAGTCATCATAGGCGGCTAATCTTCTAGATGGTAGCCAACTACTTTGATTTAATTCAAAGATGGTTTCATTTTATTGAAAAGTCAAAACAACAAGTTGTAAATTTTAGGTGGCTTTCGATGGTGCAATTAATGCACCGAAAAGTAGCTGAAAAATGTTGAAATTTGGCATGGTAAAATCACTCATTTAATCACTAAACTTTAGGGTATTTACAAATTAGTCCTTAGGCTTCAACTATAAATACCCTAGCTCATTTAGCTTCAAAACCATCCCAAAACATTATAGGTTTCTTCCAATACTAGAGAATTTAGAGAGTTTCTTAAGAGTTGTTTTCTCCTTTTTATCAAGAGAGAATTATCATTGTTTTCTCCTTGATAGATCGAGAGAAGTTGTAATTCCTATTTTCTAATAGTGAAATTCTTCTACGGTTACCTGTGATTTTTACCCTATATTATTTAGGGGTTTTCCACGTAAATTTTGGGTCTCTTTTATCTTTATTTTTATTTTCTCAAATTATCAGTTGCGATTTTGCTCTATTCGATAGTTGTCTTCCGCAACAATTAGTATCAGAGCCAGATTTGAGTGTGTAATATCTGCTTATTTTCTTTGTGGTTGCCACCAAAAGGTGGATCCTCCAACATAAGAAAGTAAGAAGGTATTACCCATTCTTTGAAGGTTCCAGAGAACTATTCACGATAGTGAAATAGTGGGAGCTATCTAGAAGATATGACAACGAAATTTGATATTGAAAAGTTCAATGGGAGAAATTTCTCATTGTGGAAATTGAAGATGAAGGTCATCCTGAGGAAAGACAGTTGTCTAGCAACTATCAGTGAAAGGTCAGTAGATTTCACAGATGACAACAAATGGATTGAAATGGAAGGGAATGCTATGGCAAACTTTCATCTAGCATTAGCAGATGAAGTATTGTCAAGCATCGAGGAAAAGAAGACAGCTAAGGAGATATGAGATCATCTCACCAAACTGTACGAGTCCACATCGCTGCACAATAAAATTTTCCTTAAGAGAAAATTGTACACTCTCCGTATGCCAGAATCTACTTCAGTGACGGAACACTTAAATACACTGAACACTTTATTTTCTCAGCTTATATCCTTAATCTGTAAAATAGAGGAACAAGAACGTGTTGAACTTCTACTTCAAAGTCTACCAGATTCGTATGATCAACTCATCATCAACTTGACAAACAATAATGTCACCAGTCTACTCTTCGATGATGTTGCAGCTGCTGTTCTACAAGAAGAAAATCGGCGCAAGAACAAGGAAGACAGACAAGTAAATCTGCAACAAGCATAAGTGTTGACAACGATGACAACGATGAAAGAGAGATCAACAGAACGTAGCCAAAGCAGCAGTCACAAACATGGTAGATCAAAGTCGAGGAACAAGAAGAATTTAAAGTGTTACAACTGTGGAAAGAAGGGTCACTTGAAGAATGATTGCTGGAGTCTAAATAAAAACTCCAATCCACAAGGCAATACCACAAACACTTCAGATGATGGCGATGCTCTATGTTGTGAAGCGTCAACCACAGTGAAAGGCAGAAAAAGATTTGCAGATATATGGCTCATTGATTCGGGAGCGACATATCATATGACCTCAAGAAGAGAATGGTTCCATCATTATGAACCTGTCTCAGTAGGATCTGTGTATAGTTGTAATAATCATGTCTTAGAGATCGTTGGTATGGGAACTATCAAATTGAAGATGTATGATGGAACAATCAAAATTATTCGAGATGTGCGGCACGTGAAAGGCCTGAAGAAAAATTTATTATCCTACGGATTATTGGATAATAATGCAAGCAATATTGAAACACAGAAAGGAATCATGAAGGTGTTCCGTGGAGCGCTTGTGGTGCTGAAATGAGAAAAGATAACAACAAACTTGTACATGTTGAAGGGAGAAACTTTGCTAGAAGAAGAAGCTTCTGTTGCCTCATGTAGTTCAGATTCTACAATGCTATGGCATCATAAACTTGGACACATGTCAGAACAAGGAATGAAAGTCCTTGTGGAGCAAAAGCTACTTCCAGGCTTAACAAAGGTATCACTTACTTTGTGTGAGCATTGCATAACAAGTAAGCAGCACCGGTTGAAATTCAACACATCAAATTCTAGAGGAAAAAGTGTTCTAGAATTGGTTCACTCTGACGTATGGCAAGCACCAGTTATATCCCTAGGCGGAGCAAAATACTTTGTCTTATTTATTGATAACTACTTCAGGAAATGTTTGGTGTATCATAGTAAAAAGAAGTCAGACGTGTTTTCCACTTTCAAAAACTTCAAAGCACGGGTGAAACTTGATTCTGGAAATAAGATCAAGTGTTTCAGAACAGATAATTGAGGAGAATACACAAGTGAAGAATTTGATGACTTTTACAGGAAAGAATACATCAAAAGACAGTTCACAGTGGCGAACACTCCTCAACAAAATGGAGTGGTATAGCGGATGAACATAACCTTGTTAGAAAGAACAAGAGCAATGTTGAGGGATGCAGGCCTAGAAAAATCATTCTGGGCAGAAGCAGTCAATACCGCCTGTTATTTGGTGAATCGAGCTCTATCAACTGCAATAGAGCTAAAGACACCAATAGAGATGTGGACTGGTAAACCAATTGATTATTCAAACCTCCATACCTCCATGTATTTGGAAATATTGTGTACGTGATGTACAACTCCCAAGAAATTTCAAAGCTAGATCCAAAATCCAGGAAATGCAAATTCTTGGGGTATGCTGATGGAGTAAAGGGGTATCGCTTGTGGGATCCCACTTCCCTCAAAGTGATCATTAGCAGGGATGTTATCTTTGTAGAAGATAAGCTACAAAGAAAAGAAGACGATGATAGCACTGAAAAGTCAGATACTACACAGATACATGTGGAAAAGGAGGTTGAACAAGGAGATTCTTCTGAAGCAGAACCAACACATGATGAACAAGAACCAGAGAGTTATGAAGCTCCAACAACTCGTCAATCAGATCGTGTGAGAAGACGTCCCAATTGGCACTCAGATTATGTTATAGAAGGTAATATTGCATACTGCCTTTTAACAGAGGACGGTGAGCCATCAACATACCAGAAGGTAATAAATAGCTCAGATGTTTCACTATGGATGATGACGATGCAAGAAGAAATTGAAGCCCTTCATAAAAATAATAGATGGGACCTTGTGCCACTACCACAAGGAAGGAAGCTAATTGGTAATAAATGAGTCTTCAAAATCAAGCGAAATGGTGATGATCAAGTGGAGAGGTATCGTGCAAGACTGGTGGTCAAATGATATGCTTAAAAAGAAGGTATTGATTTCAATGAAATATTTTCTCCTGTGGTTCGACTAACAACAGTTCGAGTAGTTTTGGAAATATGTTCTACATTGAACTTACATCTAGAGCAGCTAGATGTTAAAACAGTTTTTCTTCATGGAAATCTTGAAGAAGAGATTTACATGCTCCAGCCTGAAGGTTTTGAAGAAAAAGAAAAGAAGAACTTGGTTTTCAGGTTGAACAAATCTCTGTACTGTCTAAAGCAGGCGTCGAGGTATTGGTATAAGAGATTTGATTCCTTCATTATGTGCCTTGGATACAACAGACTTAATGCAGATCCTTGTGCTTATTTCAAGTGGTCTGGTGATAACGATTTTGTTATATTGTTGTTGTATGTGGATGACATGTTGGCTGCAGGACCCAACAAAGATCATATTGAAGAATTGAAGGCACAACTGGCTAGGTAATTTGAAATGAAGGACTTGGGATCAGTAAACAAGATTCTAGGGATACAAATTCACCGAGATAGAAGTAATAGGAAGATTTGGCTTTCACAAAAGAATTACTTGAATAAGATCTTGTCAAGATTCAACATGCAAGATAGTAAGCAATTTCTACCCCTCTTCCTATTAACTTCAAATTATCCTCCAGTATGAGTCCTAGCAATGAAGAAGAGAGGATAGAGATGTCTCGAGTACCGTATGCATCATCAGTGGGAAGTTTAATGTTCACTATGATATGCACAAGACCAGATATTGCACAAGCAGTGAGAGTGGTTAGTCGGTACATGGCGAATCCAGGCAAAGAGCATTGGAATACAGTAAAGAGGATCATGATATACATCAAAGGGACATCAAATGTTACATTATGTTACAGAGGATCAAACTTACTTATCAATGGGTATGTCGATTTTGACTATGCAAGGGATTTTGATAAAAGCATATCTACTACAGGATATATGTTTAAAGTTGCTGGTGGAGCTGTAAGCTGGGTTTCAAAATTGCAGTTAGTTGTGGATACGTCCACAACAGAGGCAGATTATGTCGCAGCTACACAAGCCAGTAAAGAAGCAATACGGTTGAAGATGTTATTGGAGGAGCTTGGGCACAATCAAGAGTATGTCTCTCTGTTTTGTGATAATCAAAGCGCCTTACATCTAGCAAGGAATCCAACATTTCATTCAAGGACAAAGCACATACGAGTCCAATATCATTTCATTCGTGAAAAGGTGGAAGAATGGATGGTAGATATGCAGAAGATCCATACCAAATACAACATAGCAGATTTCATGACGAAGGTGATCAATGCCGATAAATTTACCTGGTGTCGATCCTCTTGTGGCCTGTCAAAGACGTAAGCAACATGAAGGTACAAGGTAGAAAGACTGGTGTGAAGATATGATTGTTCCAATCAAATCTTCAAGTGGGAGATTGTTAAAAGTCATCATGGGCGGCTAATCTTCTAGATGGCAGCCAACTACTTTGATTTAATTCAAAGATGGTTGCATTTTGTTGAAAAGTCAAAACAACAAGTTGTAAATTTTAGGTGGCTTTCGGTGGTGCAATTAATGCACAGAAAAGTAGCTAAAAAATGTTGAAATTTGGCATGGTAAAATCACTCATTTAATCACTAAACTTTAGGGTATTTACAAATTAGTCTTTAGGCTTCAACTATAAATACCCTAGCTCATTTAGCTTCAAAACCATCCCAAAGCATTCTAGGTTTCTTCCAATACTAGAGAATTTAGAGAGTTTCTTGAGAGTTATTTTCTCCTTTTTATCAAGAGAGAATTATCATTGTTTTCTCCTTTTTATCAAGAGAGAATTATCATTGTTTTCTCCTTGGTAGATCGAGAGAAGTTGTAATTCCTATTTTCTCATAGTGAAATTCTTCTACCGTTGCCTGTGGTTTTTACCCTATATTATTTAGGGGTTTTCCACGTAAATTTTGTGTCTCTTTTATCTTCATTTTTATTTTCTCAAATTATCAGTTGTGATTTTACTCTATTCGATAGCCGTCTTCCGCAACAGCTTGGAGAATTGAAATTCTTTGTATGAAGCTCGAATTCCTGGGTGCACACCAATTATAATCCAAGACTCGGTAATACTCGTTTAACCCGATAACGCCTTCTCTCACATAATATCTCATTGTCAGTGTCCACAAGGCCCAATCCAGGTCAAGCTCATCTGTCACACCCAAGAAGCAGTTCAAGTACCTATTGCCATTGACATTGGCTCCTGTTTGGTCGATCCCAAACTCACCAATGAACAACGGGTATCCTTGATCAACCAAATACCCAGATGTCTTCATCATGTATGTCGCCACTCTGCCACAAACTTCGTTTGGGTTTCCGGTCACCCATGTTTGCGGCCCATCTGAGAATTCATACCAATGCGCCTCGAATAGTAGTTTCCCACTAAACGTGAGTTTTACGGGTTGAGTCTTGATGAATGACAAGTCTCTGTCAAAATCAAATCTAGAAAGTATAACGAGAACATTCGGGTTTGCAGAGTGCACTGCTTCGGCTTCTTTCTGCATGTACTTATACCAGTCGTTTACGTTCTGTCTTGGGCCTCTTAGCTCGTTCCTCAAGCTCATGCCGACCACGTTGGTGACACCGTTAAATAAGGTGGCCATTTGAGTCAGTCGGGTGATCCATTGATCCGGGTTGAAGTACTGGTCACCGAAGAAACCATTGTCATCAAGATTACTACTGCACCAACCGGGTTTGCTGATGTGATTGTCAAGTATGACCATTAAATTGTGTTTTCCTAAGCTTGACACCACTGTCTGAAATATAAATGTCAATCAATAAATCAATGCCGTAAAGTTTGAGACATGTTGTTTATTCAAAGCTGATCGGAGAAAACAAGGACATGGAAAATCTGTCATACCTGGTAAGCTTTGATGAGAGGGACATCGATGATGGAAGGGTTGCTGGCTTGGATTCCGGCGATGGATTCAACCAAGCCGAGTTGTTGAAACGATTGTCTAACGGTGAGGGATGCCAACGAGTCATTGGTGATCAGATAGGCTGGCCAAATGTACCTAACGCAGTTGAACCCCATTGACACAATCTATTTGACGATCGTATCCACAGGCTGTTTGTTGAGCCCTTCGGCAAGCATCAGTTCTGAGTGAGATGACCAGTTCACGCACGCCAGCTTCATGCGTCGTCCTCCCTCACCCACAATCCAACGTGAATTCGTAGACAGAGGCAGGGGCACAACGATGGGAAAGAACAGGAAGAGGAGGAGAATAGAGGAGGAAAGGAAACTTGCCATGTCTTTTGTTTTGACTTGGAGGAGAATAGATCGTTGAAGGATAACTTACATGACTGGCTTATTTAAACAGTGGTTTGCGTACAAGTCATTCTCTATAACAAAACCAAACACACAAACCCTATTCCAATTATATCTTTTAACTTTTATTATTAAATTTAAATGTTTTATTTATAAAGTCGGATTGGTTCTCTTTTTGTAATTATTAATTTTTATTACTTGTAATTATAAAATATTAAATTTATAAATGAATTTTACTCCCATATATAATTTAATGCATTAATTTAGATTTGGTGTGTCCCTAGAATATAAACGAGATTAAATAATATAATCAATATAATCTTAATTAAATTAGAATACAATTCTTACTTTAGGTTATTAAAAGTAAAAAAAAAGATCTTATATAATAAAAAAATAATATCCTTTTGAAATCTAGACCATAACATTATTTTTTTTATATTACATTATATCTTATATAGATAAGTATAATACTTATGAAAATTATTAAAAAATATATATTCGATATGCTAGTTATATGTAAAAAAAATTCTCTACTTAAAATTTAGATAGGGTATAAGAATTAAAATAATTCTATGAATTTCCATTATATATTTTAAATTTAATATTGAAATTTTAGCTAGTTATAAAAAAATATATCATAATGAAAATTTAATCAAATTTACTTTAAGATAATATTATCCATAAACCCTATTCTCAAATACAATATTTAATCAAAAGTTCCCTTTAGAGTTTCAAACATATGATTCTCAATTGAACAGGTGGACATATGAATTGATATTAGAGAAAATAACTTCAGTGGCCGAAAATGCCTTATAATATAGAGAAAATAACTTCAGTGACCAATAATGCCTTATAATATACGATTTTAACCAACTTTTTTTCGGATTTGCGAAAATGACCAACAAATTCGTAACGCGAACTCCAATTTTGCAACACAGTTTCCAAATTCACAACTCAGTTTCTGCAATCGCAACGCGATTTTCCAAATTCACAACGCTATTTTCAAATTCGCAACTCTATTTCTGAATTCGCAACGCGAATTTCTTTTTCGCAACAAGATTTTCTAAATCGCAACACGAATTTTGTTTTCACAACTCGATTTTCGAATTCGCAACACGAATTTTAATTTCACAACAGCTTTTATTTTCGCAACACAAATGTTTTGGGTATATAAACTACGCAGGAGTAACAACTCATAACCTAAATTGCAACTCATTCCATCTCCATCTCTCACTCTCTCCGCCGACATCCGTTCCTATATCCAACGACATCCTTCCCTATCTCTAATTTTTTTTACATAATTTTATTTCTATATAATTTTTCTATGATTTCTCTCCCAAATTATCAACTATCAACTTAATAAATGTATGTTTTTCTCTAAGTTAGTGATGATATCTAGTTTATAGCTCGTTTGTTTAGTAAATCAATTTACAATTTGTAGAATGAAATCATCTAATGTTGATCATGTTTGGATAGATTTGTATTTTGGAGGGTCATGGGAGAATGTTCATGGTGTTTTACAATATATGCATTTACCAATGAATCTTCAACTAAAACTGTCACTAAAAAAGTTAACTTATGAAACTCTAATGTTATGTGTTGCAAAGAAATTGAATTTAGAGCCTCTATGTGGATTTAGGATATCTTATCAGAAAAAATGTAAAGTTTATTTGTTAATCGACAATGAAGATGTTGAACGATTCATTGCTTACATTAGTGTTTCACAAGAAGATGATGTTACATTGTATGTTGTTGAACCTAGAAGTAGTGAAGTTGGGTCAGTAGCGAGTAGTAATCAACTAAGTTCTTCAACCCCAGTTTATGGTGCTCACAATGTACAACGTTGTTATCAACCTCAAAATTTAATGGTTCCACCACAATTTCATCACCAAGAAAATTTTGTTTCACCACATTTCCAATACCAAACACAATATCAAACAGAATATCAAAACCCACAACCTTTCCCTAATCCAAATCCCAATAAACTTTCATCACCAAATTCCGGTTTTCGTATTGACCAGTTAGACGATGATGAGCCAACAGAAAAAATTGTGAGTACTAGTCAGTATTCGAAATTTGATCTTGGTCAATACCCAGACTTTGATCATGGTCAATACTCGGATTTTGATGATGTTTCAGAAGAAGAAATAGACCCTGCGCGTTAGGCGTGTGCAAATCCGGGTACCCGGATTTTCGGGTACCCAATTTTCGGGTACTCGGAACTTCCGGGTCGACGATTTCTCGGCCCGTGTCCTGACCCAGATGTTATGGTTACCCAGTAATCGGGTACCCGGATTTTGCGGGTACCCGATACCTGGTTTTTAATTTATTATTTTCAAATTATTAATTTAAAAAAATATATACACAAATTTAAATGTTCGAAACTTTGAATTACATACTCTGATATCCGAACATAAAATTTAAAAGTTCGAAATACAAAAATATAATAATCCATAATATAAATAAGTCATTTTATTTTATATAATTATATATAAAAAATAAAAAAATAAAAACTAATCGGGTACCCGAAAAAACTAGATTTTGTGACCCGGGCCCGACCCGGGAAATGTCGGGCTGGGTAATTTTTTTTTAGAGAATTACCCGGTTTTTTTAGCGGGTCGACGGGTCGGGTCAACCGGGTCAGGTAATTTTGCACACCCCTAATGCGTGTAATGATTTTGATATTGGTCGATACCCGAATTTTGATGATGAAACAGCCGCTACCGAGGAAAATGTTGTTGATGATAATGAGGAGGAAGTTACGACTATGAATGAACATGTTGAACATCCATTCTGTAATTCATATAACCCTGAAGAAGAAAAAAAAGAATAAGTTCCCGAAGAAAAGAAAAAGAAGAAAATGTCACGGGAGTATAACTAGAATATGCCATAATTACTTCAGATACCGGAAGAAGAGTTAGTAAAGATAGCAGTTGATTGTTACACAAAAGTTATTCGTATCAAGAAAGATGATTGTTTCGATACAAAGGAAGACTTGAATATAGTTTTGTATACGAAATGTGTGGAAGATGGCTATCAACTATAAGTTAACAAATCAAGCAAAGATCGTTTTGAAACAAAGTGTATGATTGACAAAAACTGTACGTGGTGTATGATTGCAAAGAGGATAAAAGATTGCAAAATGTTTCAAGTTAGGAATTTTATTGATAAACATGTTCAAGAACCCAAGTTTTGCCTCACCATAGACAGGCAAACAAAAAGGTGTTGGGTGGTTTTCTGGCTGAGTTAATGTTTTTGAATGGCAGGGCATATCAGGGACATGAAATTATGACTTACATGAATGCTCGGTTCAAGATTAGTATCTCATATTCTCAAGCTTAGAGAGCCAAAAGTTATGCCTTGAAATTGTTGAGGGGGTCGCTAGAAGCATCGTTTGCCCAACTGTCGGCTTATTGTCACAATTTAAAGCTGAAAAATCTTGGGTCGGTAACTCATATCAAAAAAGATAGACATGGACGCTTTGAGTTGTTGTTTATCGCCATTGGTGCCGCGGTTAGTAAATCAATATAATTTTGTTGACTCATTTTTGTTAGTTACATGCATTTCACATTTAAATGATTATATTTCTTGTGTATATTATTTTATAGATTGGTTCGTTTATTACTTGCATGCGCCCAATTATTATAGTTGACGGAGCACATTTGAAAGGTCGATACCTTGGAGTAAACTTATTAGCAGTAGCCATGGATGCTAACAATGGATACTGCCAATAGCTTACGGGGTTGGCAAATCTGAAACCTCTTATTCATGGACATGGTTTATGGGGTATCTTAGGGATTGTATAGGTCCTATTAGCAACCTGACAATCATATCTGATAGGGCAAACTCAATTGACAACGCTGTTAGAAGGTGTTTCCCAGATGCTTTTCATGGACTTTGTGGTGTTCATTTGTACAGAAATCTAAAATCAAGGTCTGCTGGTATAAAAAATCACAAATGGACATATTGGAAGGCTGTAAAAGCTTATCGGGAAGTGGATTTTAATAAGCATATAGATTGTTTAAGATGTGTTTTGCCTCAATGCGCTGAAACACTAGAAGATGTCGGGTTTGAAAGATGGTCAAGAGTACATCAACTTGGGGCAAGATATGGTTTCATGACGTCTAATAGTGCAGAATCAATCAATGCTCTAAGTCATCATTCCCGAAAATTACCCATTATTATGTTAATGGAGTTTTTTCGAGCCTCTATTCAACAGTGGTACTACAAGAAAAGAAACTATGCAGGTTTTATTTCTTTAAATTCGTAACTTATCATATTTAATATATTTTACTAAGTATTATTTATTTATTTACAGGAACATTGGAACGTCGTGTTACACCATGGACTGAAAAAAGATAACGAAACATGTTGTGAAGTCAACGTCATGGAGAGTTGAACCATGTTCAAACACTTTGTTTGAAGTATTTGATAATAACTTAAATGGGCTTGTCGATCTAAATGCAAAGACGTGTAGTTGTATGAAATGGCAAACATCTAGTTATCCTTGTGGCCATGTTATAAAAGTTTCTCTTCATCTAAACCAAGATGATTCAAGCGTCTCCGCTATGGATTGCTACACTACATAAGTATATCGACAGACTTATGCTGAGATTGTCTACCCTATTCCACATCCTTCTGAGTAGGACATACCAGATGACTTACAAACAGTTTTGCCACCAGTCATGGACAACAGTCTACCTGACCGACCAAAAAATCATGATCGTATACCGTCTAAGGGTGAAGAGAAGAGGATATCGACATGT